AGCCGCCATTATCGGGCTCTCCGTATTAACCGATCTGCGGCTGACAGCCCAAGCTCCACCACCCGGGGCTGAAGGTCTCTGGATTATCTCAATTTTTTATTATCCAATTTGGCCCAGTCCCAATTAGATCGGATAAATGGGGTTCCTCTGTACTGTGGCTAGGGAAACTAAAGTTCAGAGTTTCATTTTAATCATAAAAAAATGTAGATTTTTATGGGTTTTTTTATTGGAGAATTTTTTTATCACGGAAAGCTAGGATGTATTAGCAGAAGTGTTGTAAGCAAGACACGAGAAGTAATGCTTCCACTCTGATTAGGCCTCAACTGGAGTATTGTGTCCAGTTCTGGGTGCCACATTTCAGGAAAGATGTGGACAAATTGGAGAGAGTCCAGAGAAGAGCAACAAAAATGATTAAAGGTCTAGAAAACATGACCTATGAGGGAAGATTGAAAAAAATGGGTTTGTTTAGTCTGGAAAAGAGAAGACTGAGATAACATGATAACGGTTTTCAAGTATGTAGAAGGTTGTTACAAGGAGGAAGAAAAATTATTTTTCTTAACCTCTGAGGATAGGACAAGAAGCAATGGGCTTAAATTGCAGCAAGGGCAGTTTAGGATGAACATTAGGAAAAACTTCCTAACTGTCAGGGTGGTGAAGCACTGGAACAAATTGCCTAGGGCGGTGGTGGAATCTCCATCATGGGGGATTTTGAAGAGCAGGTTGGACAAACACCTGTCAGGGATGGTCTAGATCATTAGTCCTGCCACAAGTGCAGGGGACTGGACTAGACGACCTCTCGAGGTCCCTTCCAGTTCTATGATTCTATGATCCCTAGTGATGAGGGTTGAGCGGTACAGGAACCCAGGCTATAGTAACAACCCTTCTGAGTTAGGTTAGCTGCCTGGCGTGTGTCATTATTATCCCAAACCTCATAAACATAATTAAAATACCCGTGGCCTCTTTGACTGCTCCCCAGCACTGCTCCCACCTTGACCAGGGGAAATGAAAAGCATATAAGGTGTTAACTCTTTGTGCTCTGGTGTGGCTCTCACCAGAGAGAGACAGAAAATATGTCCACCGCACGAGGACCTGATCCAACGCCGGTTGACATCAATAGGACTAGTCTTCTGTTGACTTCAATGGGCTGTGGATCAGGCTTCAGCTGAGCACCCGTCTCTCTTAGGAAGGACTTTGTAGTGTATGTTTCATTGGCTGGCTCAAACGGATACATCCTAGCTCTGCATGGGAGACAGCTCCTCCACCCCCACTCAGACTGATGACCCTCTCCTGCTTTCCTTGTGTAATTAACGGATGCCCCATTTCCCCTCCCACCAAGAAGCTGCAAAGGCCCAAGGTAGACAGGACACTAAGGTGAAGAGCAAACCACATGACTCTAAAGCACATGCTGTGCACGTTCTCTCTCTGAGGGTCAGGACTGGAGTGGTATTTTGGAGCCAGCATACTTGGCTTTCCTAGTTACCGTGGCTCACCTTCAGGATGCACATGGTGCTGTCCACAAATATTGGCCAGGTATCCAGGAGCAAAAGGAGAACATGGTTAGGGGCTATCACTAGGAGCAATGGGATGCATCTGAAGGCATTTCCTGACCGCGAGATCTATTGCACAATGGAAGACCCTCCCCAAGGGAAGTGGTGGAAGCCCCAAAAGGCTTAAGTGGGGCATGGGCCTTGTGCTGCCTCAATGCACAGGAAGGAATTTCCCCTCGGTCCACGTCCCCCAATCTCCTTCTCTCATCAGCGTCACTGAAATTCTTCTTCTCCCACCTCTCTTTCAGCACCTCAATAACAGAGCAGAAGCAATTCCCAAGCCAGAAGAAACTCCCCAAGTGCAGAGTGGATGAGTGATTGGGGGCAATGGGGTGGGGGCAAACGCTCTGACTTCATGGGAGCTACGGGAAGGGTGGGCCGGGGTCCCAGCTGAAGAAAAAAAGGTCAGGCACCACCTGGCCATACGACAGTATTGCTAACTCAGGATGAAAACTTGACCGAAGCACATAGAAGCTCACTTTTATACATGGGTGCAAATTAGAATATTTCGTACATTTTATATTGTTCTATTATTTTGTATATAATTGTAACAGGACTTTGAATTTTGTGTATTTTGAAAAGAAAACTCCTTTACTTACCAGTTCATTGTGCGCTGAAGATGTTGACTCTGGGAATTAAAGAGCTTCTTTGCAACCTGTAGGGGATACACTGAGGGGAGTGCCAGACCTTGGCAGACAGAAGTAACTTTAGCAACAAGAAAGGGTTTTGGGGAACTAGAAAGAGGCATCTGAAGAGAAAGTTCTGCATTGCAATGCATAGTCCTAACTCACAAGAGATTTATTAGGGTTGATGTTGCACTTTGTCACAATAAAGTAGATCCGGTCTTATCTGTGGTTTGTACTAGTGGAAAGTTCTTAGCATGGTTTGACCCTCCCCCCCCCGGATGAATAATGATCTTTCACACAAGCTGAGTCAATGAAGGAAAGTGGGCTAGTCGTAATCCTGGCCACTTGTGACGCAGCCCTGAGAATGTACAGCATGTTTTTTTCAGAAATCCCAGAATGACTTCAGGCAAAGACATGGAAAATATTTTCACTGTGGTCTCCCTCCTTCTCCTGCTGCCGCCGCCGCCACTTTGCCCTGCCAGGGGCACTGCTCCCCGAGTTCGGGACCCACGGCAATGACCGGCCGGCTGAGCCAGCCAGGATGTGTCGTGGGTCTGCTTGTGCACACGAGCTCACACTCAGACATGCAGGCACAAATACACCATGTTCAATGTGACACGCACACACACACACCCCGATCCAATATCACACACACTCCGGGTCTAATGACTGATGCACGAGCACACACTCACACACACACACAATCCAATATCACACACACCCTGGATCTAATGACTGATACACACACTCACCCTGATCCAATATCACCCCCCCACCCTGATCTAATGACTGATGCACACACACATATACACACACACAATCCAATATCACACACACTCTGGATCTAATGACTGATGCATGCATGCACACACACAGACAGACACCCCTCACACACAGCAGATCTAATGACTGTTGCACACACACACACAGAAAATATCATGTTGCCTCTATATAAATCCATGGTACGCCCACATCTTGAATACTGCGTGCAGATGTGGTCACCCCATCTCAAAAAAGATATATTGGAATTGGAAAAGGTTCAGAAAAGGGCAACAAAAATTATTAGGGGGATGGAACGGCTGTCGTATGAGGAGAGATTAATAAGACTGGGACTTTTCAGCTTGGAAAAGAGATGACTAAGGTGGGATATGATAGAGGTCTATAAAATCATGACTGGTGTGGAGAAAGTAAATCAGGAAGTGTTATTTACTCCTTCTCATAACACAAGAACTAGGGGCCACCATATGAAATTAATAGGCAACAGGTTTAAAACAAACAAAAGGAAGTATTTTTTCACACAATGCACAGTCAACTTGTGGAACTCCTTGCCAGAGGGTGTTGTGAAGGCCAAGACTATAACGGTTCAAAAAAGGACTAGATAAGTTCATGGAGGGTAGGTCCATCAATGGCTATTAGCTAGGACGGGCAGGGATGGTGCCCTAGCCTCTGTTTGCCAGAAGCTAGGAATAGGTGACAGGGGATGGATCACTTATGTTTACCTGTTCTGTTCATTCCCTCTGAAGCACCTAGCATTGGCCACTGTCGGAAGACAGGACACTGGGCTAGATGGACCATTGGTCTGACCCAATACGGCTGTTCTTATGTTCTTATGTTCAATCAAGCCCCTACCGCCCTTCCCAGGGCAAACGAGCTGTCTCTTCCAGAGACCGGGGGAAGGAAGGCCTGTGTCTGGGCCCACCCCCGCGTCCTCCTGAAGCGCGTGGCCTCCCAAAGCACAGGACCGGGGTGGTTGCCCCAATCTGCCCTATGGACGGGACGACTCTGGATGGATCTATCTTCCATGAACTTATCTAGTTCTTTTTTGAACCCTGTTATGGTCTTGGCCTTCACAACATCCTCTGGCAAGGAGTTCCACAGGTTGACTGTGCATTGTGTGAAGAATTCTTAGACCATGTTCCTACTGTAAACAGAGCCAAAGAGCTTGACATAGAGGGAGGTTACAAAGAACACTTTGGTTCTTTGTGTACCCCCAAGATACATTAGAGGAGATCCAGGGCCGGTGCTTCCACTAGGCGATCCTAGGCAGTCGCCTAGGGCGGCAGGATTTGGGGTGCGGCATTTTGCCGCCTCTGTGGAAATTTGGCGGTGGGGGTCCTTCCGCTCCGGGTCTTCAGTGGAAATTTGGCAGTGGGTCCTTCACTCGCTCCGGGATCCGCCGCCGAAGTGCCCCGAAGACACGGAGCGGAAGGATCCCCACCGTCGAATGCTCAGAGGAGGAGCGCTGCCGCCTAGGGCGGCAAAAACCCTGGTGCCGCTCCTGAGGAGATCACTTATTTATTGAGCAGCATCTGTACAGTCGATAGAGGAAAGGGGATCTGTGCTCCAGAGTTTACAGTCCAGGGCCCTATCCTACAAAGCTTATAGACACAAGTCATTTTATGCAGGTGAGTTGGTCCTACTGAACTCAACAGATGTTACTCACAAGCATACGTTTTTGCAGGATCATGGCCAAAAAACAGTACATTTCAAACACAAGCTACATTGGATGGCTACATGAATATCCCAAAAGCCCTACCAGTTTCTGTTAGGGTTGTCTCTAGTAAAAGTGTCACCCGTTTAACTAAAGATATGCTTTTAAACTGATTTAGTGAAACCCATGTGGACGCTATTGAATGGATTTAAACCCGTTTACATTCAAGCCAGGTTTAAACTCTACTACACTACAGGGGGGAGTCGATTTAAGATACGCAAATTCAGCTACGTGAATAGCGTAGCTGAATTCGACGTATCGCAGCCGACTTACCCCGCTGTGAGGACGGCGGCAAAATCGACTTCTGCGGCTTTCTGTCGGCGGCGCTTACTCCCACCTCCGCTGGTGGAGTAAGAGCGCCGATTCGGGGATCGATTGTCGCGTCCCGATGGGACGCGATAAATCGATCCCCGAGAGGTCGATTTCTACCCGCCAATTCAGGCGGGTAGTGTAGACCTAGCCAGTTTAAACAAGCTTTAAATTAAATTCAAACCACCTTCATTTAAATCACTTCAATTAAAGGAACCAGGTTAAAACCAGTTTAAGAGGGTTCACACAGGGGTTTGCACTGGTTCAACTAAATCGATTTAAAAGCAGATATCCATTAAACTGCTCCAAGGTCTAACTCAAGGCTTCCCATTCCTTTTTCCTCCTGGCACTGGGGGCGAAGGTGTGGGGAAGGGGGATGCAGCAGGAACTGTTGAGGGATTTCATATATTTCACACGTGGCTCGGAGTTTGCTAAGCTCCTGGAGTTCTATGTGGCAGGGGGGTTAAGTTTGCCCTATGGAAGTCTTGCTGCCTGGGCGCCCAGATGTCAGGACAGGTGACTAGCTCGGGACAGGATGGAGCTGGGGAACCAGCGAGCTTCGCATTCCTGCTGCGGGTTTACTTCTCAGTTGCTACGTGGAGTGAATCAGGCTCCAGCGGGAGCTGGATGGGAGGCGGTAACTCGGCCCATGGCTCACCCCGGGAGAGGGGATTGGGGCAGCGGGATCACTGCCTTCTTATGCCCGATCCGTCGCTCCGAGAAGGGGGAGGCTGGGCTGGGAGACTCGGGGCTGGAGCATGCCAAGGAGTTGCATGGCCAGACCCTCTCCCCCAGGCAGGGCTGGGCCCGGCGGGGGGAACCTCCTCGCCGTCCCGGGGGGAGGCGCGCAGCCTCTCCAGGCGCAATGCGCCCCGCGGAGCGCACGGGAGTGGCCGGCCGGGGGCTCTCTCGGCTCCCCGGCCCCGGGAGGCAGCTCTGCAAAGTTTGCAGCCGGCCTGGCCAGAGCTCGCCGCCCCCGCCGGGCCTTTTGCACACGAGTCCCCAGCGCTTCACACGGGCCGCGGCCGGGGCCAGATAAAGAGGCAGTTGCGAGCCCGGCGCGGGGGGTGGCTGGAGCCGGGGGACCCTCGGAGGGGAGCTGGAGCCGGAGCCGAGCGCGCCCCGGCAGGTGGGGATGGCGGACGGGGAGGAGAAGCGGCACCTGCTGGAGGAGCCCGGAGACAGGTGAGGGGCGATTTCTCCCCCTTCAGTTACCTCCTCCATGGGGCAATTGTATTCCCCCCCCGCTTCTGAGCCTCCTCCCAGTAACAAACCCCAGCCCCCTTCCTTCCCCCATAACACTGCCCCCTGTATCTCCCCCATCCTGCCCCCATCTCTTGCAAGGGATCTCAGTGCTCCCCCCAGCCCAGCTCTGCAGCTCCTGGGCTGGCCTGTCTCCCCCATGCACTGTGGGACCCCAGGGAGAGAGCCCAGCCTGGCTGCAGCCTCCTCTCTCCCCTTTCCAGGCTGCCAGGCCCGGATCTCCAAAGGTATTTAGGTGCCCAACTCCCATTGATGCCCATGGGCATTAGGTACCTACATAGCTTTGAGGATCTGGGTGCCAGGGCACCTGCTTCTGGCTGGGAGGTAGCTGAACAGTTTCCCTGGCCCTGGAGTCTCTCTGCCCTTCTGGGGGTGACACAGAAGGGCCCCCCAGTAATTTGGTCTGGGAGACCAAACCAATCCACTGCCTCCATGTGCTGCCCCTTATTGGGGGGAACTTGGAAATGGGGGCTACATCAGGAATAACTGTGGTTCCTTTAGAGTGCTAAGGGGGGAAGAGGAGGGCTTCCAGGGCAGAGATTGAGTGACGGGTGGAAGAAGGAAGGGGTGGGGATCTCATGCTTTAGAGCTTCCATTCCTCCCTGGATGGAGGGGTGTTTTCAAGCAGGGGAGACTAGCTAGGCTCGGGCCAGGACTTTCAAGAGTGACTGGTGATTTTGGGGTGCCCAACGTGAGATGGCGCCAAGGGGTCTGGCTTTCAGAGGGTGAATGCTCCAGCACTGTCTGAGAATTGGGCATCTCAAGGTAGGCACCTCAAAGGGCCTTGGGTACAAAGGGGCAACATTTTAATTTCAATTGGAAATCTCCTTCCCCCTCTCCCCAAGTGTCTCAGCCAGCAGCTCCCAAGAGTGGTCAGTAATGGTGACTCTCTGTCGTTCAGGTCCTATCTGAGCGTCTCCGAGAAGAACTTTCGCAATTCCATGCTCAAGTACGTTCCAGACATGTCCTCCATTGAGCTGGGCCTCCCGGGGAACCAGCATTGTCATTCCAACCGGGCTGCTGGCAGCCACTACAGTTCCGAAAAGCAGCGGGCTCGAAGGAAACTCTACGTCGCATCCGTGATCTGCCTGGTCTTTATGACCGGAGAAGTCGTAGGTAAGATGCCAAAGTAGCCTATGTTGTATGGCTTCCTTGCCTGGTAAGAGCCCAGGTGCTGGAACAGCTAGATAGGACAAGAGATTCTTCGCTGCCTCCTCCCTAAACTGTTATGTGTGGCTGTTAAACAGCTGCTGCGGTCTGCCCTAGAAGTGGTTGCATTTAATTGCTCAAAGAGCTAATCCCTAAAATATAATTGTATATCTGTGTGCGGGCTTGGTCCTGCAAGGTGGGCACTTGGTAGGATCAAACCTTAGGGCCTTGATCTTAAGCCCATTGAAATTGGCGGCAAAAACTGCCATGGGGCAAAATTGGGCCCTGGGTTAGAGTGGCTGGGTGAACAGCACGATAGCTGAGGCTGTCCTTCACTAGACTGAAGTACATAGGCTGTCTCAAAGTCACCTTTAGTGAGGGGCCATGGGGGAGGATACAGACAGTCACATCAGCTCATAGCCCCACTGCTGGCACTAGGGTAGGCTCCAGCTACCAGGGGTTCTGCTGGGACAGAAAACCCAGATGAGTATTTTGCAGCAGGCTCTGGTTATTACCGGGAGCCCCTCTGGTCTGGGGAGCCTGCCATCACATGGACTCTGATCTTTTTTCAGGGTTTCCTCGGCACCGGTTGTGTGCCCCATCTGTGAAGGGCATAGGGGCAGCGTTGGTGCTGCTGGGGGCTTCCATCCTTTCACTGACTCATTCTTTCTCCTCCACAACTTCAGGGGGATACCTGGCCCACAGCCTGGCCATCATGACAGACGCAGCTCACCTGCTGACGGACTTCGCCAGCATGATGATCAGTCTGTTTTCCCTGTGGATGGCCTCGCGGCCGGCTACTAAAACCATGAACTTTGGCTGGCACCGAGCAGGTAACTTGCTGAGTGGGTTCCCCTGCAGGGCAGGGTGTGAAGCCCAGGTGCTCAGTGGAAGAACAACACTGGGTGTGGTGACATCGAACAATGCTCCTTTCTGCTGCTGGGGTTATCTGAAAGGAAGGGAGCTTCCTTGGTGTGGGTTTTGCAAAGGCTCTTGAATGCAGCTGGGAGGGAGGGACATTTGCAGAGCAGCGGGGGATGGGGAAGATGTCCGGATCCCACACAAGTCCCATCCAGCCAACGCAGGCTAAGAACTGGGATCCAACAGACCCAACCCTGCGGCGCCCACACCTGAATGCACGGAAATCATCTGCAGCTCTACTGCAGTAGCTCCAAGTGCAAGCTGTTTGCTAACTCCGACTCCCCCGAGCAGGTGAGGCTTGTGATTGTCCCATTTGGCTGCCCCTGTGGATCCACTATTCCAGGATCATTGGCATCTCTGGCTCTAAGATCATTAGTGACCCCTGTGGGACCCTACCCCAGCGAACACCCATGCTGAGCCACTGGGTCCTTCTGACAGCAAGTACTTCCCCCTCACGCTGGGTCCAGTTGTAACCAGCCCCGCGCCACTCCTGCTGGAATGGGATGTTCCCCTTCCCTTCTCCTGACCTGGTATTTGGATACAGTAATTCCCTCCCTCCTTTAAGGGCCACCCCTATTAACTTCCATCTGAGGACGACCTGCCCAAGGTAGAGTTTGCTCATCACTTAGCTGCAGTTCTAACCAGGGAAGGGCTTTGCTGAAACCAAGGAGAGCCTCCTGCGAAATGCAGCAGCCGAAAGCCCATGTGCTGGGTAGATTTATTTCAGCCCCACTATCTGCCCAAGGGCGGGGAAACCTCCAACTGCCTTTGTTCGCTACATTCCTATAAAGGCCCTTTAGTGCTGCAGTTGTTAAAGGTCTGTTCGCATTCCCATCGCCAGTCTCCCTTTGTCTGTCTCTCTGTTTGTCATTTGTGAGACACCCAGTCCCCTTTTCCCCTCTCCGTTCCCAGCCATCTCCATGGTGTTTCTCTGCTGTCGTCATCTTGACATCATTCATTTTTTCCTAACCTTGAGCTAGTGCTGTGAAAGGTGCTTGCAGACTGAGGCCTGGTCTGTAAATAGGTGTCGTGCCGCTATCGTTATTTCAGTTGGGGGAGGCGACGTTTAATTGAAAGAGTTAAATCTGTACCGCTCCTCGCGCGTATGTAGCTCTCTTGGGGTAAAGGCCCATTAGGTCGTGTCTAAACTCCAAAGTTGTATTGCTTTAACCGTCCTGGGATGGTTAAAATGGTACCCGCTTAGTATGGATGCAGTTTTACCAGTATATAGGTGCTTATCTAATAAATAGCTCATTTCCATAGGGGAAGGTATAACTGCATCCACACCACAGCTGTCCCAGAGTAACTCGGTTTAAAAAATTTTCTGAGTTAAATAAACTGGTACAAAATCTGTGTAGAGCAGACCTTGTTCTTATGCCCCCTCCCTTACAGGTATAAATGAAAGCGGGGTACGCACCTTGATACCGGCGTCACTGCATCCACACTAGACGGGGTTGTGTCGCTTTAACGATTCTGGGAGAGTATACTGCCCAGAGAGCTGAATTCAGAGCGGACACGTCAGCTCTATTTCAGTAGTGGGCATGAGGGGAGGGTAAGGTGGTATGATTGACGAGCCGAGGGGCTGGAGGGGAAGGGTGGATCAGAAGCAACTAACAATGAGGGTGTGACTTAGAATGGTTAAACTCCTTTAGGACTAGTCCAAATGGACCAGCATAGCTAGAGTGGAAGAATCGTTATTCTGTTAGAGGTATGCCAGTATATTTCCCCATGTAGACCAGCCCTTAGGGGTCAATTCTGAACCCCCCACCCCCTCCCAGCTCCAACCCCTATATGCTTCTCCGGTGGTATATATGGATCATAAAGGAGCTGCAATTTTCCCTGGTGCAGGAGCTGCATAAGGCCAACGGAAGCGGCTCACCACAAACCCCGCTGTCAGTCCCTGGGGCTGGGGGAATCTGTGCAGCCCTGGGGTGGCGGCCGTGAAGCCGAGAAGTCCCTGCATGAGGCTCCGTGGCTGCTGTCCCCCGTGTGGTGAGGGCTGGGTGTCTGGAGAAGGATTTGCTGTGCGTTTCTTGCTCTCTAACCCTGCGTGGGCCGGGCTTTCTCTGCAGAGATCCTGGGGGCCCTGCTCTCAGTGCTGTCGATCTGGGTGGTGACCGGAGTCTTGGTTTACCTGGCAGTGGAGCGTCTGCTCTCAAACAACTACGAGATCGAAGGGGGCGCCATGCTCATCACCTCTGCCTGCGCTGTGGCAGTGAATATCATGTACGTCTGGCCGGGTCACTGGCTCTCGGCTCCTTTGAGAACGCTCCGGGGCGAGGGGGTGCATGTGCGGGAAGGTTCATTAACTGCTGATCAAATTGCAAAGGTTAATCCCTCACACTGGAATGTTTCTTCTGGCCAATCTGAAAGGCCCGCCAGTCCAAACAGGCCATTAATCCTGGGATTAGCGGTCTCCCGGGGCCCGATCCTGCTCCCATTGGAAGCCCCCAGGAGTCTGGCTGTTGATTTCCACTGGGAGCAGGGGCAGGCCCTTGGTTGGTAGAATGCCAGAAGGGATTTTGCAAGTGGGTTTGGAAGTGGCCATGCAGGGCTCTGTGCTCCTCTTCCTTCGACCACCACTCCCTGGAGCTAGTATCTAAAATCTGAGCCACCAAGGGGGCTGTCTCCTCTGCCTCTACTGGGAACTACCAGACTGGGGTTCTGTTGACCCACGCGGTGGGGCATAGGATTGAGGATCTGAGCCTCCCTCTATGTCAGGGCTCCAGGCTGTCTGTTACCGAGCCAGAGGGATACAGGCCAGAGCAGATGAGTATGTCGCAGTCTGGGTCGGAAGCTGGTAGCGAGAGCGGTGTGGAACCTAGCACCGCCCCCTGCACGGGGAGATGCAGGGAAGGTAGCTTTGTCCCTCTGCGGGCAGGGCTTGTCTCGGTTGGTGCAGAAGGCGTGGGAGGAGGCTGTGGGCTGAGGTGCCTCGCTCGATGACCTCGCTGCTCCGGTTTTCCCTGCAGAATGGGAGTCACTCTTCACCAGTCGGGTCATGGGCACAGCCACCAGGGCCATACCCACCATGGCCACAGCAAGCAGCGGAACGCCAGCGTCCAGGCCGCCTTTATCCATGTGGTCGGGGACCTGCTGCAGAGCGTTGGCGTCCTGGTAGCTGCATATATCATATATTTCAAGGTACGGGCTCTGTTGCTAAGAGTGTCTTGGGCACGGAAGGCTGGTAAGTCCCCGCTGCGTGATGTCCGGGGTGTCTTTCGTTTGTTGTGGCACGGGAGTTGGAGCATGACGCGTGCTGTCCCGGTTGGAGGAAGGGAGAGGTACTCCTGTGGGAGGAAGGTGTGGTCTGAGCACAGAACTGGGAGCCAGGAACTCTTGCGTTCTTATCTTTGCTCTGCCGGTAATTCCTTCTCTATCCTTGAGAAAGTCACTTAACCTCTCTGCCTTCGTTTCCCTGAATGCCTTGGCCAAGGACGCAGGGGAAGTTAGTGGCAGAACACAGATGATATATGGATTTATTTTTTTTAATTGCATTTCACTTACTTCCCCCACCACAGAAATGCAGCCACCTCTGGAATGGCGTGCAGCAGCTGCCTAGCAGCACTCCACAACCACGTAGGATAGGAAGTGAGGGATTCTCTGTGAACTTGAACCTTCAGGGGAATGCAGGGATGTACTGTCCAAGTTGGAACTTAGCTGAGACACTAATGCTGATGCCCCAGCTCTGTGCTATAGGACCCTTATTGTCCACACTCGGTCAGGATCTCTGCTTCTCTTCTCATCAGAAAGGAGGCCAGGTGGTCCGGTGACACTATGCTGGGGCATTGGGTCAACACTCAGGCCAGGTCTAGACTGAATTTTTTTGCCAGCATACTAATGTCACTTAGGGATGTGATTTTATTTGCAACATGCTTATACTGCTCAGAGTTTCACATGTACAGTTATGCCGGCAAAAAAGTGGGTAAGAGATCCTGAGACAAGCACTTTTTTGACACTCTAAACTGCGTCTACACGAGGACGGTTTGCCAGTAGAGCTACACTGGCAAACCCTTGCTGGTGCAGACTTGCTCATACTCAGAGGAAAGAGCGCAACGTTTTGAATTATTGGCACCTGGCCGTTCCCTGGAGGCCTCCCATCCAAGCAGTGACCGGGCTGCACCTCTGTTTAACTCGTGATCCACTCAGCGGTCACTACACACGGTGCAATTGCAAAAGGAAAAATGGAATTTTCATTTGGAACGAAGCTCAGGAAGGAAACCGTTGAGCATTGTGTAATGAGATTACACGGGCAGTTGTTTGAATAGGAGGCATTTGTGAGCTTTATATTAAATATACCGCGTAACAGCTTTCCTCCTCCTACCAGCCAGAGTACAAATACGTAGACCCCATCTGTACCTTCCTGTTCTCAATCCTGGTCCTTGGAACGACGCTGACCATCCTCCGGGATGTCGTCCTAGTGCTGATGGAAGGTAAGGAGCTCTACAGAGCAGGGTAGTTAAGTGAACGACTGGTTAACCCGGTCCCGTCCCTGTGGTATGTTCTCCCGTGGGTTACAGGGTACCTCCCTTTCCTGCCGATGTGGGGCTCTGACCCTGTGTTCCTCTTGCTGTCTTGAAGGTACCCCGAAAGGGGTGGACTTTAACAACGTGAAGGAGATCTTGCTGTCCATCAATGGTGTGAAAGCCCTTCACAGCCTCCACATCTGGGCCCTGACTGTGTCGCACCCGGTGCTGTCAGTCCATATAGCGATCAGTAAGTATCTGCCCTGCCTGCCCGTTAGAGAGACAAGATGGGTGAGGGAATATCTTTTATTGGACCAACTCCTGTTGGTGAAAGAGACAAGCCTTCGAGCTCTTCTTCAGGACTGTGTCGGTGAAAGAGACAAGCTTTCGAGCTAACAGGACTTGGTCCAATGAAAGATGTTACTTCACCCATTTGTCTGCCTAATATCCTGGGACCAACATGTCTACAATAACACCACACACATTTAGGACCTGATAGAAATGCTCCCGTTGCTTCAGTGATATTGGATTGTACCCTTGGTGTAGAACAGCATGTTCCAAGCAGATGCGCTTTGGAGGCGTCAAGCGCTCTTGGCAGAAAAGCTGTTGGAAGTGGAGGATCATGGGAGATTCCGCAATGCTTCACTGGCTTCGCCTGGTTTTGCGTCCAGCTCAGAGCTCTGCTTAGATTCACCCAGATTCACTCATGATCCTTTAGTACAAAATTGGAGCCTTTTTTTTTTTTGGTGGCTTTGCACAAGTTTCCACCCCAAGAGACCTTTGTGGTTTGGCTGGGTTTTGCGTAGTCTCGCTTAGATAAGAGAATATGATTCCCTGCCCCCCAAATTATACAGTTTAAGGCCCTGATCCTGCAAACTGATTGGCCTAGGCAGCAGGGGCGGATCTAGCTTTTTGCCACCCCAAGCACGGCAGGCAGGCTGTCTTCAGCGGCATGCCTGCGGGAGGTCCTCGGCCTGACTGCCGCCCTCGCAGGAACCAGCAGGGTGCCCCCTGCGGCTTGCCACCCCAGGCACGCACTTGGAGCGTTGGTGCCCGAAGCCGCCGCTGCTAGGCAGACCCGGCTAGTGCACCCCGGCAGGCTCAAAGGCCAAGTCTTTACCCCATTACGTGACCTCTCCAGCCTCCATGCTTGTGTTTGTTCCAGATGAAAACGCCGATGCACAGACCATCCTGAAGGAGGCTAGTTCCCAACTGCAAGGAGCGTTCAATTTCCACACCACCACCATCCAGATCGAGAACTACTCGGAGGACATGAGAGACTGCCGGGAATGCCAGAGCCCCTCCGACTGACCGCCTTTCCCC